AGGCGGGGCCTTGGGCCCGGGAGCAGCTGGCGCAGGAGACACTGATGGTGCAACGCTTGTGCCTGCAGCTCCGGGAGGTGTTTGAGGACGTGGCGGTGTATTTCACACGGAAGGAGTGGGAGCTGCTGGACGATGAAGACAAGGTGCTTTACCAGGACCAGATGGTGAAGAATTACCAAGCCCTCGTTTCCCTGGGTAAAGCTCTGGGTCTTGCTTCCCCCGGAGATATGTGAACTCTGCAGTTTTGTAGTCACCTCCCTGTTCCAAAAGTCTCATCCTCATGGACTTTTGGCTGGAGGTTTAAATCCCCTTCCTCCCCACTGCCCTGCCAGTGATCAGGCCTCCCTCACATTTCTGACAGAGATCTCCTCCTTCATTGGCTCTTGTCGCCTTCACTTGTGCCTTCCCCTTTCTTGTGACTCCTGGTTCTTCCACATGCAGCAGTTTCTTGGCAACATGATCTCCCTTTGCCTTCTCAGCACGTTCACATCATCCCCAGGCCGTTGTACACGAATGCACTAAGAGCTGTTCCTGGGGGGAGGATTCTGATTTCCTCCATGTGAGCTAGCAGGTCCTCTCCAGACAATCCTTGCGTGCTCCGTTCTGTGCTATCTAGGTGCCCTTTCTCCTGTCATTATGACCTGGCAGAAGTTAATAGAAAGTCTTATCAGCCTCTGCTGCTACAACGGGAAGAGGCATTTCCTCAACTGCTCCTCTAGCGGCATGTGTACACGAGATGTAAGCCAGGTTTGTCTGCCAGCGGGTCGCTGGATGCTCTCGTCCACATCCCTTCCTAACATCTTCATCTCCGTAGGTCAGAGATTCCCAAGCTCCCTCTGCCCCTCTCAGAAGTTTTCTTGTGCTCTTCCTAAAATCCCTCTGCTGATCGGATGCCCATCATTGTGAGAACAAGAAGTGGGCTAGCTGCAGGACCTAGTGAGAACCAGTTTTCATTTCCAGAGGATCTCTAATACAGGGGCTTGTGCTGGCTTGTGCACTGGGTTGCAGTACTGAGCTTTTTTTACTAGGTCAGTTTGCTTTTGTGATGCTTTCTTTCCCCTGCCTTTCCCCCGGGGGATTTCCTGTGGGAAGTGTTTCTATGTTTTGTCTAGCTTAGCAAAGATCATTTAGACCATTTCTATATGATGGCCTTTCATGTGCTGTTAAATGTGTCTCTTTCTGCCTTCTTTTGTCCATATCCACAGCTCCCAGGAACTTGGTGTTCAATCCCGCAGTACTTACCAATCTGTGCACTCATCACCCCTCCTGGGGTGATCCTCCCAATGGACAGGATGATTGCTATTTTGCAGCTACAATTATTATTTCCTGTCCCTGGTGATGATGAATTAATTATTCTCTCTCTCTCAGAAAAAATTGTCATTGTCGCCTACGTGTCATGTATGCTTTTCCCTGCCCTGAGTCCCCTCACTAAGCTCATTTTCACTTCTTTTCCTGGAATTACACTGATAAAATTAATATTATGCATCCATAAGTTGGTCCATCATGGGTCAATGCATCTCTACACCTGTCCCTGGTGACTCTGTCAGTTTAAATACCCATCCTTCCTTGTCCATCAAGCCCCTAGCAGACATCTTGGGTTCCCTGGATGCATTCCTGAATTCCAATTGGATTCTGCATCCCGTACCCAGTCACAAATGCTCTTTAACCACTGCCCAAACAGGCTATCGCGGTCCCACACCTGACTTAATCTGCAGCATCCAGCAAGGACGGGTGGATCTTTGGACGTGTGCTGATGAGGACTGTGGGGAAATGTCAAGATGGGAGGACCTGGTGCCAGGTGAGTTGTGGCTCTCCCTCCCCCCCGACTGCTGTCAGTAAAGCTCCTTGGCCTGAGTGCCAGTGGGACCGGGGAAGGCGGGAGGGCTGGGTAAGCAGTTTTGTTGAGTTGTCAAGGGCTGCAAGGGTGGCCCCATCCCTTCGTTGCCGTCTTGGAACCAGACGTCCTGTCCTAACCTCTGACTTTTGCCACCAGAAATCCCTCCCCTTGTCCCCAAATGTACTCCTTTTGGGAAGGGGGATTAGACATCTTGGAACGGAAAAAACCAAAAGCCAATTGTATACTAAAAATCAAACATCCATAATAATATCTTTCAATTTTATTTAAAAAATATATTTTTGCCCTAATTTGTGAGTGTCTGTGCTGTGTATCTTTAGGAATGAGTGCATAATAGCTCAGAAAGAAGTCTTACTCTTGTATATTGTGCGGGGGGCGGGTGTGGAGGACTATTAGAGAGACACCCATATATCAGTCTGATATCGGATCAGCATTGATATGAAGAAAATTGAAGGTATTGGAAATCGGCCTGATGTGGTCAATAATTTGGCTGATCAATGCCCATGTGTACGGGATTTGTGGAGTGTGTGGAGGGGGAGGGGAGGTTGGGGGGTGTGTGTGGTGTGTGCATGTAGCTGTGAACAGGGCTTCCCCTAGAGGCTTGCAGGTGTGAGTATAGGGGAGGGTGTGGGGCTTGTGGGGTGTCTGATTGCGTGGGGGATGGTGTGGTTGTGGGGTTTGTGTTGGACGGCTTGAAGGTATGTGGGGTGTGCATGGGAGTCCCTGTCCCGCAACAGCCCAGAGCCCATATACCTGTGGCTTGTTCCCCGCCACAGCCAACAGTGCACAGCCCCAGCATGGCCCACACCTGCTCCTCCCGTACATGGGACTTTCAACCGACCTGGGCATGCAGCATAGCTAGGACAGCTCCTTCACTCAGCAAAGTAAGCGTTCATTCCACAGGCCAAGGTAGCCATATCTGTGTAACACCCTCTGCCAGGGTATGATGGGATTTCTAGTCCCCCATTGAAATGAGCATGGAATACAGAGGTTTTGTGTAGCCATTCCTGTTGGTCAAGAAAGAAGCTGCGGCTGTCCCTGGCTTCTTCTGGTCAAGTTGACCTGGAGCCCAGGAAATGTTTCATCCTGGTCTCAGGCTGCAATTAATGGCTCTGTGGCAGGGGTGGGATTCCTAAGATTTCAGGTTGTGTGGGGAAGTGAATTACCCATGGTTTGCATCAGAATAGTCCCCTCCCTGTTTCCTCTCTGGGGTCTTGAATGTCAGGAAGCCTGAGACTCATCACAGAGTCCTGCTTCAGAGTCATGCCTAGGCCTTAGGCCCTTTGAAGATGCCTGTGACATGGAGGTCATCTGGGACCGGTCAGCAGAGGAAAGCTCCATGCACTCCCAGCACAGGGACCTGGCCCTTCCTCACCCCAGGATTTCAGGTTTTGGCAGGAAGACCTCCTTTTCTGGAGGGAAAACAAGTGCCAAGGTCCAGGCCTGCTTTGAGGCTTGTCCAAGCAGAAGGAAAGTGGTGTTTGCTCTCTGCCAGCAGCATAGGGACAAATGTGGAGTGTCTCTTCCCCATGCAGGAGGTGCCTGGCTGCTGAGCAGAGCTGAGGAGCAGCCTCCTGTGGAAGAGTCTGCAGACATGGAGCCAGCGCAGACTTCCCCAGGGAGTTTGGGTGAGATGGACTCCCTGAGACCTGAGAAGGAGCGATGCTACGAGAGTCAGGGGAGGCCCCAGAAGCAGAAGCAGAAGGAAAAGGTAGCCATGAGCCAGGTACCATCTCTAGTTGGGCATGAGGGTGGAGAAGGCCAGAACCTAGAAAGAGCCCGGGTGCAGGCAAGAAGTTGTGCAGTTGAGAGACCTAAAGAGCCACTGGAAAGATGCACTGCATGCAAGCAAAGGCAGTGGAGAGGACCTCGGAGGGAAGCAGGAGCTCACTGCCCAGCACAGGGGCCTCAGCCCTAGCTGAAGGTCAGGAAAACCTTTAAGTGCTCATCACTCCTGGCTCTTCACAAGATAAGGTAGAGTGGGGAGAAGTCCCATGTATGCACTAAGTGTAGGAAGACCTTCACCTGCCTCTGCCCTGGTTGCTCACCGCTAGACCCATTCTGGAGAGAGACCCTACCGCTTCACCAAATTGGGGAAGAGCTTTGTTTGCCCCATAGACCTGGTCAAGCACCTAGAAGTACAGAGGGGGAAGTGTCGGACACAGCTGTGTCATGAGTGGCAAGACCTTCACTGCTTTTTTCTCATTGTCCCAGGACCGGTGCATCTCCCGAGGGAGGAACACTCACCACTGCACTGAGTGCCGGAAGAATTTCATCTGCTTGCAAGACCTGTCCCAGCATGAGTGTGTGCGGCAGCACCGCACGAAGTGTGGGAAGAGATTCAGGCAGCTGTCCAACTTTGTGAGGCACTGGTGCCTGCAAACAAAGGAGAAGCCACATCAGTGTTCAGAGGG